TCTTTCTTATAATTACCGTGTGATGTAAGATATTTTAGTTTTGATTTTTTTTGTCCCCTAACCATTTATTTATTTATTTACTTACTTACTTATTTATTTATTGCTTTTTGGGTCACACCCAGTGATGTTCAGGGGTTACTCCTGGCTCTGCACTCAGGAATTAGCCCTGGCAGTGCTCACGGGATCATATGGGATGCTGGGAATCGAACCCAAGTCGGCCGCATGCAAGGCAAATGCCCTACCCGCTATGCTATCACTCCAGCCTCTGTCCTCTAACCATTTAAACATGTAAAAGTCATTCCTCCTCTGAGGGCCATTCAAAGTAGGGGATGGGTCAGATTTGGCCCATGAGTTTCAGATTGCCAAGCACTGGGTTAGTTATAGCAAGGCCCCTGGAGCAATGCCTACTGTGGGATCTTTGGTAAATGACTAACCCTTTCTGTGCTTCAGATTCTCATCTGTAATATGGGGATGTTAAAGGTAGTATTTTGGGAGTATCAAATGGTGTAGATGGTTTAGAAAATGACTTTTGTCAGTTCTTTTAAAAGTTAGGGGCTTTAGGAAAGAAAAAAAAGGAAAAAGTTAGGGGCTTTGCTTGCCTTACACATTGGGTTTGATCCCCAGTACCCCATATTGTTCTCTGAGCACTGCCAGGAGTAATCCCTGAGTGCACAGCCGGCAGTAAGCCCTGAGCACTGCTGATTGTGACCCAAAATATTTAAAAATAAAAAAGGTGGGGGTTGCTGGAACAATAGTACAGCAGGTAAGGCATTTGCCTTTCATGTGGCCAGCCCGGGTTCAATCTCTAGCATCCAAGATGGTCCCCCAAGCACCACCAGGATTAATTCCTGAGTGCAGAGTCAGGAGTAACCCTGGAGCATCAGTGGGTGTGACCCAAAAACAAACAAAAGTTAAGTATAGGTCTGGACAGATAGTACAGGAAATAAGGCACTTGCCTTGCATGTGGCTGACTGGTTAGATCCCCGGCATCACAGATGGTGCCTTGACATCACCAGGAGTGAGCCCGGAGCACAGAGCCAGGGGCAAGCCCTATGTGCTGCTGGGTGTGACATGAGAACACAAGCAGGTTAAACAAAGAGTTACCTTCTGACCCAGCATTGCTATCCCATTGTATGCACACAGGAGAAACGAAAACATAATTCAGTACATTAAAAATGTTCACATGTGGGCTGGAGCAATAGCACAGCGGGTAGGGCGTTTGCCTTGCACACGGCTGACCCGGGTTCGAGTCCCAGCATCCCATATGGTCCCCTGAGCACCGCCAGGGATAATTCCTGAGTGCAGAGCCAGGAGTGACCCCTGTGCATCGCTGGGTGTGACCCAAAAAGCAAAAAAAAAAAAAAGAACGTTCACATGCTCCCTTCAGCAGAATATATACTGACATTGGAGCAACACAGACAAGATTAGCATGGCCCCTGGGCAAGGACAACATGCAGATTTGGGAAGTGGTCCATGTTTTTAAAATAAAAAAAAGTGTTCAAAATAACATTCATGGCCCCCTTCCCCTGCCAAAGTGGTACCAGTGCTGAGGTGGAAATTCAGGGCTGGTGCCTGTATGCACCAGCCTGAGTTTGGTCTTCAACCCCCCAGAGCCCCTCAAGCCCCACCCCCCACCACCACCCTGCAACACTGGTCCTAAGCATTGAACCATCTGACCTCCAAGATTGGGATAAATGTAGTATAGGTGGTCCAAGGTCCCCTGCGCTCTTCTTGGACACCCCCCACACCTGCAACGTGGTATTGATTCAAATATCAAATGATGAATGAATGGAAGGTGTGCCCATACCATTAAATATTATTCAGCCCTGAAAAGGAATGGAGTGCTGATTCATGCTATACCACGGGTGAAACTTGAAATCATGATGCTGGCGGGCCAGGGAGATGGTTCAGAGGACTAAGAACATGCAATGCATGCAGGAGCCTGGATTTGAACCCCAGCACTGCATGGTCCCCAGAGCACCACTGGGAGTGACCTGGAAACTAAACCCGGGGGCCAGAGTAATATCGTCAAGTAGGGCGCTTGTCCTTCACACAGCTGACTCAGGTTCGAGTCTCAGCATCCCTCCTGGTCTGTTGAGCACCACCAGGAGAGTGATCCCTGAGGACAGAGCCCTGAGCACCGCTGAGTGTGTCCCCCAAACTGACAAAAACAGACATGATTCTGAGTGAGAGAAGCCAGTCTCAAGGGCTTTGCGATCTGATCCATGAATAGGAACGATCTGGAAAGGGCAGATCCATGCTGATTGAGTAGGTGTGTGTGTGTGTGGTGGTGGTGGTGGTGGTGGTGGTGTGTGTGTGTGTGTGTGTGTGTGTGTGTGTGTGTGTGTGAGCGTGCGCGCGTGCACGTGCGCTAACAGATGTGAGTCTTTTTGTTGGAATGTTGAGAATGCCTTGGAATTAGGCTGTGCTGATGCTCACATACCTTTGTGACTATACCAAAAACTGAACATCCTAAATATTGGATCGTCCACTTTGAAAGGGCAAATTTTGGGGCTGGAGAGATGGTTCAAGGGCTGACATTAGGCTTTGTATGAGGGAGCCCAGGTTTGATTCCTCACACTGTGTGGTTCCCAGAGTACCACCAGGCACCATCTCTGACACGGAAGTAGACCCAGATCGGGGCCATAGTACAAATATATATATATATATATATATTTTTTTTTTTTTTGCCTTGTGGGCTGGAGCGATAGCACAGCAGGTAGGGCGTTTGCCTTGCACGCAGCCAACATGGCCGACCCGAGTTCAATTCCTCCGCCCCTCTCTGAGAGCCCGGCAAGCTACCGAGAGTATTCGATATGCCAGACACAGTAACAACAAAGTCTCCAATGGAGACGTTACTGGGCCCGCTCGAGCAAATCGACGATCAACGGGAGGGCCTTTCTTTCTTTTTCTTTTTTTGCCTTGCACGCGGCCAAGCTCGATTCCAACCCAGGAATCTATATGATCATCCAAGTTCCGCCAGGAGTAATTCCTGAGTTCAGAGTTCAGAGCCAAGAGTAACCCCTGAGGTCACTGGATGTGGCCTTAAAAACCAAAAAAAGAAGATAAAAGTAGACTCTGAGCATTGTCAAGTGTTGCCTTAAAAAAATAATAATATAATAATAATTTTAAGGCCTGTCAGTTTTTTCTCAGTGGAAACAGTCAACCTTACCCCAGATAAGCCGGAGTGAACAAGTGTAGATGCCCACAGTGGTTTCTGGTGGTCAACGCTTGCTCTCTTCCCTCTTGGGAGCTGTAGGAGGGCAGTGTCTGTCCAGATCACATCACCCCTGACCTAGCCTGGGGTGGGGGACCTGTAGCTTTGGACTTTTCCAGTTCGCAGCGCAGGGGCTGGATTTTTTTGTTTGTTTGTTTTTTGCTTTTTGGGTCAGACCCAGAGATGCACAAGAGTTACTCCTGGTTCATGCACTCAGGAATTACTCCTGGCGGTGCTCGGGGGACCATATGGGATGCTGGGAATCGAACCTAGGTCAGCTGCATGCAAGGCAAACGCCCGACCTGCTGTGCTATTGCTCCAGCCCCAGGAGCTGGATCTTGACTCGAGGCAAGTCACTGGAAGTCCAGGCTCCTTGTGTTAATGGAACAACAGAACCAGCGGCATTGCCCATCAACCGGGGCCACAGGCCATGGGAGGTCAGTGGTCAGTGCCCAAGCTTCAGCAGATGTTTCTGGCTGCCAAGCTGGGGAACTTGTACCTCTTAGAGTGGCCCCACCCGTGGTGTCCCTGCTCCCCAGGGCCTCCCTGAGCCCTGAGGAATGAGCACTGTGGGGCACCACAGCAGACCAACCACACCCAGTGGTGTGGCCGTGGCCCAAACACTGCCACCTTCTTTCTCTGAGCCTCAGTGTATTCAACTGTCATATGGGTTTGGGGCATAGCACCTGCCACTCGGGGGTTGCTTGTGGGAATGAGATGAGATGAACCCAGGGGGTCAGACTATACCTGCTATTTCTTAAGTCCTCGGTGCATGTGAACTTCATGTTCATTTATTTTAAAATGTTTTATTGTGGGGGCACGGGGTACTGGGGAGATTGTTCAAAAAGCTGGAACATGTGCTTGCATGCAGGGGGGCCCGGGTCTAATCCCCAGCACCAGACTCAAGACCATGGTGCTGGGTGTACCCCTGCGCTCTGCCAGGTGTGGAGCCCCCGGCCCACAACACACACAACCCAAAAACACACATGCAAAATATGTATTTTTTTTTTTGACACTGTACCATCTGCATGGCCCTGTTTTAGCTCTTGAGGATGTAGGCCAGGGTCAAACATAAAATCCAGGGTTGGATGATAGTACAGTGGGGTGGGGTGTCTGCCTTCCAGATCCGCAGCACCCCATATATTCTACCAAGCACTGTCAGGAGTGATCCTGAGCACGGCCGGGTGTGGCACCCCAAAACAAAAGTCTTTGCTTTCGTGACTGTTGCATTAGAGGCAGGCAGATAAGATACACAGTAGATTTGAAAGCATGATTGAGAGACTGCAGCCTAGAGTGGCCGTGGCAGGTGGGGGGGGGCTGCCGTTTCACAGAAGGTGAGCTGGCTAATGGGTCACTCTGGAAGGCTTGACCCAGCGAGCAGGGACCTGGGGCAGTGGGGGAGAAGAGAGTGGCGGAGGACTGATTTGTTGTTCTGGCCGTACCCGAGGATGCTCAGGGGTTGCTCCTGGCCCTGCACTCAGGTGTCCCTCCTAGCAGGACCCAGGGAACCCACCATATGGGATGCCGGGGATTGAACCCACGTCAGCCGCGTGCCAAGTAAATGCCCTATGCGCTGTGCCATCACTCCGGCCCCTACCATGCAAGGTTTGAAGGAAGAACTTTCCAGGCCCAAGACAGGACAGGATGTAGCAGTGTGCTGGGCCAGGGTGGTGGGAGGGGAGGGACAGCGGGTGGCAGGGGAGCATTCCAGGGAGCCCCTGCGGAATCTGCGCTGTGTCCCCTGCTCACTGCTCACCGCCTTCTTTCTCCTTTTCTGCTGCAGGACCCGCCAGGGGCCTCCATGGGCGCCTGAGGGCCGGGCCGGGGCGTTGGCACGAGCATGGTGAGACACCAGCCCCTGCAGTACTACGAGCCGCAGCTGTGTCTCTCCTGCCTCACGGGCATCTACGGCTGCCGCTGGAAACGCTACCAGCGCTCGCACGATGACACCACCGCGGTGAGCCGGGCACGGGAGGGGCAGCCTGGTGGGGTTCGCGCTCGGCCCAGCCTCTCCTGGGATTCAGCCACTCCTTGTCAAGTTGCCCAGAGTAGCTCTGAGCACTCCACCCCCCCCACCCCCGCCGCCCCTCTGTCCGAGGCATTTACCGTTGTCAACCCCGCTCCGGGCCAGGCTATGCTGGGGAGTGAACAGGGGTTCCCCAGCTGGAGGGTGCCCCCAGACGTGCAGAAGTCATGGCTCAGGCGGGCGGATTGGGAGGGGGAGGAAGTCAGAGGGAACTGGTAGGGTCTTGGCTGGCACTGGGGCCCCGGTCACCTGAGCCTCGGGGCTGCCGGCGCTGGTAGCAGGTGCTCACAAGGATACAGAGGGGGCCCCTTCAGCATGGGCCCCCAGCCGGTGCCACAGTCCTGTCCCGGGGCGCCCCATTTCTTCTCTAAAGAAACCCACTTCCTCCAGGAGGGACAGAGAGAGAGAGAGAGAGAGATAAAGGGTGTTTATCTTAGAGCTTTGCTGCCTGGAAACAGCCTTCCTGCCCCCGCGTCTGCGTGTCTGCACCCAGGAGCCGATTGCCTCCCTGGGCCCGAGACAGGCCCCAGAGGCCGTGGGCGGGGAGGGGGGAAGGGCCCGACACCCAGGGTCCCGAGCTGTGAACTGTGGATGCAGGTCCCCTGTCTGCCTGTTATCTGTCGCTGCTTCTGGAAGACGCAGGACTGGGCTGACGGGAGCCTCAGGGTGGTGACCCCAGCTGGAGGAGCTGACCTGCAGGGGGCCCGGGCCTGGTTCTCTGCCTCTGTGACCTACAGCACAGAGGGGATGGTGGGTCAAGCTGAGGCTGGGTGGGCCCCAGGCTTGGAGCAGGTGCAGTGGACCACGGGAGGGGATGGGAGGAGAGAGCGCCCCTCACAGCCATGCCTTCCCATGGGGTGCAGCGCTCCCCTTACCAGTGCCACGTGGGGGCGCGGTATGCCTCTGCTCCTGGTACCTTCGTGAGCTTCCTCAAACGTCCCGCCCCAGGAGATGCCGCCGGGTGGGTGGCAGCCGCCCAGGACATAGGGGCCCAGCTCTGCAGGGGCGTCTCCATCACCCTGAGGACGGGCCGCTCCTGAGCCCCTGGGGCTTCGAAGGGGGAGAGGGGTGGAGCTGAGGCCCCCACCCCACCAAGCCCCTCTGGGCTCCTCAGGCTGGGACCTGGTAGGAAAGACTCCTCTCGGCTACCGTGGGTGGTCCGGCCAGCAGAGGCCTTGGAGCAGAGGGTAAAGGGACTGGGCTTGGGGCTGGAACAATAGCACAGCGGGTAGGGCATTTGCCTTGCACGCGGCCAACCCAGGTTCGATTCCCAGCATCCCATATGGTCCCCTGAGCACCGCCAGGAGTAATTCCTGAGTTCAGAGCCAGGAGTAACCCCTGTGCATTGCCGGGTGTGACCCAAAAAGCAAAATAAGTAAATAAATAAATAAATAAATGGTCTGGGCTGTGGCCGACACAGGCCCAGTGAGGAAGGGGTGACCCAGGGCCAGTGGGGGCTGAGAGGGAGCCGGAGCCGGGCAGGACCGGTGGGTGCCGAGTTCAGAGGGGCCAGGTGTGGGGTGAAGCAGGAGCAGGCGCCGGAGGGGAGGGACAGCCATGGGGGGCAAGGGGGAGGCAGGAGGGACAGTCAGCTGGTGGCAGAGGGTAGGGGAGAGGTTTCTGCAGCAGCTCTGGGTGGCAGGGCTCAGCTCACCCCCAGGTGACCCTGAGACTCCTGGCTCCCCAACCTAGCCCCCCATAGCCCCCCGAGATTCCTACTCCCCCCCTCTTGCTCCAGTTCTCGTTCCTCTCTTGGCTCTCCAGGGCTCTGCATGAGGCTAGCCGCCTGCACCCCGCTGAGCTGGGGTCCCACAGCCCCGGGCTGGCGCAGTGAAGATGTAGGGGGTTCTGGCCAGGGTCCCCCCCACGGCCCACACACAGGCCTGTCTGGGCTGGGTTTCGCTGTGGCACCCACCCGGGTCACACGTCGGGCTGTGGCTGGCACGCAGGGCCGCGCTCCCTCAGTTGGGGTGTTGCACCCCTATTCTCTGAGGCACATCCCCCATAACTGCCACCTTCTGGGGTCTCTCCAGGAAGCCCCTGTTCCTCCCGCCTCAGAGAACTTGACTCGACTCAGGGGCTCAAGCCGGCCGGAGAAACCGGACATCTGTGAAATGCGGGCAGAGGCTGGGGAGTGAGTGTCTGGGGAACGTCTGCCGCCCTGCTTATGTAACCACCTGCAGAAGGATGCTGGGGTGGGGTCTGAGTGTTCAGTGCGCGCTCACTGCAAGGAGATGCAGACAAGAAGGAGATGAGCAGACGCCTGCAGAGGGGGGAGCACTGGGCGCAGAGCAAGGGGGCTAGATGGGGGAATCTCCAGGCCAGTTTCTGGCAGAGGCTCTGGTATCCTGCAGGGCTGGCGGGTGTGGGGGTGGGGGGCTTAAGGGGGCGGAGAAGAGGAAGAGAGGTGTCTCCCCTCATCCAGCTGCCTGCTCACACCCCCAGGACCCTCCCCCAGCACACCCTTGATCCTGCAGGAAGCAGCAGGAAGCTGGGAGATCAGAGGGGGGTGCGTATGGCTTATTCTCCTGCCCCAAGAGCCCCAAGCTGGAGGCAGGATCGAGTTCTTGCCTCGCTCCAAAGCTGGGAAGGGGAAGCAAAGCTTTTTATAACCGGGGGATAATTAATCGGTTGTTGTCTGTGACTCATTACTCTAATACTGCCAATTAAGGACTTGGTAGGGCAGAAGGCAGTTCTCAGACCATCCCCACGGGGCCCTCTGTAGCCGTGGGAGAAGATGCCCGCCTCTGTGCCCCAGGGTCAGAGGTCAGGTGCCCGCAGACCTCCTGGAGAGGTCAGGTGTCCACAGACCTCCTGGACTTCTGGACCACCCGAGACTTGGAGGGGGCTCTTGGAAGTCTGTTGGACCTCTTGCGCCTCAGGCTGGGGCTCCAGAAGGTGATTTATTCAAGCCATAGAACTGAAGGCAGAGTGGGCAATGCCCCTGGCCCACTCTCCAGCCCTGGGCCCACTCGCTCTCTCACCCCTGGCTTACAGGGGCCGTGCCACTTGCTCAGTCCTTCAGCAGACCTGCCCCTTTCCTGCCAGGCCTCCCAGGGTGGCCACAGCAGGGCAGCTGAGCCGATGTGTGAGGCCCAGTGGGAAGTGGGGAAGGAAGAGCTCTGGGCGCACTCTCGGTGCTGGGACTGAAAGCCTCCCCCGCTCCACGCCTGGGTCCCGGGGTACAGGGGAAGGTGCAGCTGGGACAGAGGTGGGGAGGGCGGAGGCTGTAGCCAGGGGTGCTAGAGACACACTGAAGGTGCAGTCACCAGCCTGGCTGGGAGACCCCGGGACTCCTCATGCAGGTGCACAAGCTCCTTCCTAGAGCCCGAGGCCATCAGACTGTGTCTCGGGCCCAGGGCGCAGGAGCTGGTCTCTGAGGAGCCAAGGAATAGCTCCTCGCATGCGTCCGCCCAAGAGATCCCCCGCCCTCGTGGCCAGCCTCCTAGGATGGGGCCCTCCCACGCCGGCAGAGAGTCCTAGGTGGGTCCCTCCATGCCCCAGCATCACCTCTTCACAGCCTCCCCAGGGCACCATCCCCTCCCCTGCCATGCCTCTCTCATCACAGATGTCTGTCGCTCCAAGAACACCCCTCTCCTCCAAAAAGAGAACCAGGGTGATGGGACCAGAGAGATAATACAATGGGGAGGGTGCTTGCCCTGCACACTTCCAACCCAGCATCCCACCTGTCCCCCTGAGTACCACTAGAGTAGTTCCTGAGCATCACCAGGTGTGGCCCAAAGAAGCAAAATGACACAATAAAATGAACCAGACTAAGCCTGTGGGGTATGACAGTGCTGTGGGGTACTCAGTGCTGGGGATGCTCAGTGCTGTGGGGTACTCAGTGCTGTAGGGTACTCAGTGCTATGAGGTATTTGGTGCTCCGGGGTACTTGGAGCTGTGGGGTGAGGTGCTTGGTGCTGTGGGGAGCTCAGTGCCATAGGGTACTCAGTGCTCTAGGGTACTCAGTGCTGTGGGGTACTCCGTGCTGTGGAGTGCTCAGTGCTATAGGGTACTCAGTGCTGTGGTGCACTCAGTGCTGTGGTGTACTCAGTCCTGTGGGGTACTCAGTACTGTAGGGTACTCAGTGCTATGGGTTACTCTTTGCTGTGGGGTACTCAGTGCTGTGGGGTACTCAATGCTGTGGAGAGCTCAGTGCTATAGGGTACTCAGTGCTGTGGTGTACTCAGTGCTGTGGGGTACTCAGTGCTGTAGGGTACTCAGTGCTGTAGGGTACTCAGTGCTGTGGGGTTCTCAGTGCTATAGGGTACTCAGTGCTATGGAGTACTCTGTGCTGTGGGGTACTCAATGCTGTGGAGTGCTCAGTGCTGTGGGGTACTCAGTGCTGTGGGATACTCAGTGCTGTAGGGTACTCAGTGCTGTGGAGTACCCAGTGCTGTGGAGTACTCAGTGCTGTGGGGCACAGCAGTGGTCTCCTTCCTTCCCTGGGTCGGTGAGGTCCTGTTCAGACTAGGTCATGTTCAGACTCTAGCCCCTCCCTTTCTTCCCCTCTGTCCTAGTGGTCGTGCCCTTAGTCAGGCTGTGTCTCCCGTTCATTCAGTTTCCACCCGTGGCCCCACAGAATATGTCACTCCCCACAGTGTCAGTGATGGGCAGGAGATCCCTTATCCTGTCTAAGACTCCCGCCTTGGGCAGAGTTGGCTCTGCCCTTCTCTAGGACATTCTCGGGCTCCAAGATGTGGGGTTCCCATTTCTGAAAAGGGGCAACATTCCATCCCAAACCTGCTTGGCCAACAGTCTCCTTTCCAGCCCCTGCCCCCAAATAAAAACCACTCGGAGCCCCCTGGAAACGTTTCAGTTGGAGAGATGATCCAGAGGGCAGGGGCTTGCCTTGCATGTAATCCACCCAGGTTCAATGCTTGCATCACTCATTATGGCCCCTTAAGCCCACCAGGAGCGATTCCTGAGCA